GTAGTCAGTGTATCATACAATCCAGCAGTTACCAAAGAATTATGTAGTCAGTGTATCATACAATCCAGCAGTTACCAAAGAATTATGTAGTCAGTGTATCATACAATCCAGCAGTTACCAAAGAATAATGTAGTCAGTGTATCATACAATCCAACAGTTACCAAAGAATAATGTAGTCAGTGTATCATACAATCCAACAGTTACCAAAGAATAATGTAGTCAGTGTATCATACAGTCCAGCAGTTACCAAAGAATTATATAGTCAGCGTATCATACAATCCAGCAGTTACTAAATAATTCGTTTGTTATGTTCATAACATAGAAGAGTGGCTTCAGAGAAAAAACAAAATTGAATCAAACAATTTTCAGGAAATCAAAATGTAATTGTTTTCTTGTGTCACTAGTATTCCATGGCACATCAACTTAACAAGGATATAGAAAACCTTTTTTGTCAATTACTCTTAAGTTGTATATATACAAGTATGTATACATATATGTATATAAACAGTTTACAGTGTGTTACAAAAACGATCATTTATTTGTTTTTGTTATCGTTGAATTTCGCGCAAAGATACACGAGGCCTTTGTGTGTTAGCCGTCCTTAAATTTGAAGCAAGCCCGCTTTAAGGTAGTTTGGGGCCCTGGCGCACTTATTGTTTTGAGACCCCTTGCATAGGGTACAAGCAGATTTGAAGTTAATTATAATTAATACATATTAAGTTAATTACAGAATATGAGTTAATTATTCGAAGTAAATTAGAATATGATGCATCTAACTTTTAAGGATGATATATTAAAATTAAGCAATTATAATAATAATTATTTACTTATACAACATGGCAAGTAAGAATAAATTAGGTACATAAAAAACAATATAGTTATTGTACAACATTACGGAAGCATGCTAAAACATTACCCAAAAATCGTTTTTTCCTTGCTTTGCCTAATCTATTTGCCTAAGCAATGTCCTTTCTATCGTGTGCGTTCATTTAACATAGAAACACGTATTTCTTTTTTTACTCTAGCCATTTTAGAAAAAGCTCCCTCTGCACTGCAATTTGTGGCGGGTAGGCACAAGTATATTGTTAATGTCACGTCAGCATTAGGAAAAATAGATTCGAGTTTTTTTTTTTCTGAGTACTTTGAAGCATTGTTGGGCGGATGGTGTTTCACTATAAAAAATTTTCGCAATCTGTACCATTTCATCGGGAAAAGAGCTGTCTAAATCTGGAGTGTATAAGTCTCCCAATCTTTTAGCTGCAGCAAAAATTTCAATCTCATTTAAATTTTTGATATTAGATAGAAAACTAAACTTCATTTCTGTCGCTTTATATGCAGCAATTTGATTTTCCAAACACATTTGTAACTTATCAACATAGTGGGAGCTGAAGTTGAATTTCTAACTGCTCAAGTCACGTGATTAGAGAACCAGAAACTTTCTCACATAAAGACCAGTTTTTCAGCTGTTCACATGAAATGATTCTGCGTTATTCTCTGCATTATTTGCTTTAAAATATTTTGTGGACTAGTAGCGTTGATGTAAAGTAGTAGGGCTAACATAGACGAATAATCGACGGCAAAAAAACGACAACAAACGATTACACAGATGAGTGATATATTTCTTGTTTTTCTTATCTAATCTTTATTTATTATTATAAAAGTAACTAAAAATGTAAAACTTATAAACTTTTAGGATAGATAAGGTTGAATTAGGTAATATAAATAAATATAATGATAATAATAATAAAAAAATTTTCAAGAGGTACACTCGCTAGAACTAACAGCTCATGAATAGCTCGAGCTTCATGTAGCCCCCAAGTGGCACAGCGGAATGTTTGCGGACTTACGACGCTAGAAACCGGGTTTCGATACCCGTGGTGGGCAGGGCACAGATAGCTCTTGTGTAGCTTTGTGCATAATTAAAAACAAACAAACAAACGAGCTTTATGTAACTTGGTTAGTGTTACATTTGCTTCATGTTACCGCATATTTTGACACTTCTTATGGCGGGAATTTAAAAAATCACGGTCTAAAAGGCAATAAAATAGTTCTTTAAGATTAAGAAGTTTTAAACTATTTAGCGTAAAGAAATGTTGTTTCCTGCTACAATTTGAAGTAATTCTAGAAAGAAAAATGGTAATTTTGATTTATTTTGTATTTTTTTATGGTGGTTACAAGTCGGTCAAATTGATCTAGTCTGTATTGAGTAAGAATAGAACAAATAATAGATAAAATATGAAGATTTGTCGAAAAAAGAGAGTTAAACTGACGGTCCAGATCGTCAGTAGGGGACGCTCACCTTTTGGCCCCCTGGTGCAATTACGCCACGGTTGATGCGGCCCTGAGCGCAAGGCTACATAATAATGTTAGCTGTGCTCTGTCCACCGTTGTAAATCAAACCTCGGATTTTAGCGTTGTAACTGACTCACGATGAGACAGTTTTAAAGTGTTAGACTAGCAGGAAGGCAGCTAATGAAAACCTCCCACAGCGAACTCTTGGGATACTCTAATTGAATAGTGTAAATTAACTTTCACTCTTATAACGCACTCACGGTTCCAAAGTGGGGAACATGATCTTATTTTTGACTGTAAAGGGACACTCAGATCCAGAATCCTGCACGCTTAACTCTAGAGTTAAGAAGGTTTTGGCGTTATTGTATTTTTATATAGTCAACTCAAGTAAAAGTTATAAAATTAAATTACCTTTCAACGCTTCTTTCTTTTTTTTTCGGGGGGGGGGGTGTAGTAATAAAAGTATTGTATTGATAGACATAACTGGTTGAGCAAACTTTTTTATATATATGTTGATATAATTCATGTATTAAAATCTTTTATTGTGTAAAAAACAATATTTTAATTTTAGAGATAAGAGAAAATACTAACCTGCTCACTAAGATATTTCGTAATACAATTGACATATGGACGAACTGAATCCTAAAAACATAAGAAAAAATAATAATACATAATGAGTAGAAAATCGTCACTTGTTTGGTTTAAAAACGACGGTATTCGATAATGACGATTATATAATGAAAAGAAACAAAATATATTTCGAACTCGCTCTTTTATTTTTTAAAAAGTTATTTAATCCTATGTTCTAAAACTTCCAAAATTATAGAAATGTCTAAAAACTGGCTTATTTCCTGGCAATAATTTTCATAATTTGTTAAACAGGTAATGATTAATTAGGTCGCGATTGTTCATTATTAAACAATAATAATTAAGTTACAAGTATTAGATCTTGGTTTTTCGTTACTAAAACCTAATATATAAATAGCTAAAAATGTTTCTACTAGAGATCATTATAATTTATAAAACAAAAAGATATTCGTCTTATACATATGCAAGCACGAAGCATAGATGGTTTTTACTGTTTTGTCAATCAGTATTAGTTTAATATTTATTTTCAACAGAAGGTCTTGTCAGGTAAGACTGATCAATTTCAGAACATTTTTTTATTATTTGATTCCATGCTTTATCAAATATTGATTTATTTTCTGATATGGTTTATTGAATGTTAGTTTATTTTCTGATATGGTTTATTGAATATTGGTTTATTTTCTGATGTGATTTATTGAATATTGGTTTATTTTCTGATATGGTTTATTGAATATTGTTTATTATTTTCTTCCACGCTTTATTGAATATTGTTTATTATTTTCTTCCATGCTTATTGAATAATTTTTATTATTTTTTCCACGCTTTATTGAATATTGTTTATTATTTTCTTCCACGCTTATTGAACATTGTTTATTATTTTCTCCATGCTTTACCCAATATCATTTATTAGTTTCTGGCATGATTATTTGAAATTTCATTAGTTTACATGTTAAATGGAATATTTTTTATCAGTTACTCACCTGTGAGTTTGAGTTACAGGTTGTTATTCCGAAGTTGTCCACAATGGATCCAATGCTCGTGCCATTTCCACTCATCTGCGTCAAATAAATATCTTATAAGACATTTTTCCTTGTGAAACACGGAATTTTATTGTGGTATTAAGTCATTGTTAACCTATCCACGCTGATTAAACATCGTGGTATTATGTCAATGTTAACCTACCCTCGTTGTCAATATCGTGGTTATTACGTAAACCCTAAGCGACCCACGTTATCAATATCGTGGTATTATAACAATGTTAACGTACCCACGTTATCGATATCGTGGTATTATAACAATGTTAAGTTACCCTCGTGATTAGTATTGTTAACTAACTGAACTGAAATAATGAAGGCACAACAAGTTACAAACCCTTTATTCAGAGCAAACGTATCTTGTTTTAAAATTTTATTGCTATCTGTCGTAGTTACTGGCATAATTTGTTTTCGTTCTTCCTGGTGTTATTATCACAACTTAACTCTCAGTTGCTAAGTGATTAAAGCTGAAAAATGTGTTATCAATTTAGAGTAATGTTTCTCGGAACATTGATTTTAATACACATTGTTCAACAATGAGTGGCTGGAGTTTCACATTATATGTTACCATCACCAGTTCAAGACATCCAATATAATTTGAATACAGCATAACCTTCACTACGGTTCAATAAGCCTTTACCTGGTAGCTTTAATTCCTTATAATAAAAAAAATTAGAGTGTACAATAGGAAATCATTTATTCCGTAGAGCTAAAAATTCTATATTTGTGATAAGAAAAACTTTGACGCAGAAAATACTAAAACCCTACAGTATTCAACATGCTTTTAATAATTCGGTTAACAGTTCTTATTATTATGGTTAAAAAAGGACTTTGTTAGCTTGACGCAGTGAGTACGTCTGCAGCTAGGTCGTACCTATCCATAAGTTTATAACCTCAATACGAAACGTTAAATTCTCAAACATTCCGCAAATTTTACGTGTAAAAATTTCTGGGTTACTGAAGTTTTTTCATAAGTTCCTGACTATTCAAACTATAAGGTATTTCAGTTAAATACAGAGATCGGTAAAGCGCTATCTAGTTTATAATGCTAGATACATATGAAAAGTTCACAGTTTCACACAGATATCGTATGTTCGAGTAATAAGTATCATAATCTTACCATTAACAAGTTTTCTAGCACCGACTTCAAACACTGAAAAAACAAAAACAGAAAGTCGAGTTAGCTATCAACCATCCACCTTTACTTTGGCACAGGAACGGATCATACTTTTATTTGAATTTCATTATTCTTGGTACTGGATAACACTGTAAATTTAATCTCACACTTAATGGTACTAGATTACACTGTCAACTTAATATCACATTTATTGGTATTGGATTACACTGTAAACTTAATCTCACTCTTTTTGGTACTGGATTACACTGTAAACTGAATCTCACACTTCTTGGCACTGGATTACTCTGTAAATTTAATCTCACACTTCTTGGTACTGGATTACGCTGTAAACTTAATCTCACACTTCTTGATACTGGATTACACTGTAAACTTAATCTCACTCTTTTTGGTACTGGATTACGCTGTAAACTTAATCTCACACTTCTTGATACTAAATTACACTGTAAACTTAATCTTACACTTCTTGATACTAGATTACACTGTAAACTTAATCTTACACTTCTTGATATTATATTACACTTTACACTTAATGCCACATGTCACTGTATTGATTACACTTTACATTAACAACACATGTCTTCGTATTGGAGCACACTTTACCCTTAATGAGGCACTTTTTCGTACTTAATTGTACATTTAATCTCACATGTGATTTTAGTACGTTTACACATGATAAATGAATAACGAGCAGTACCATGTTTTTGATCGACACGCCTTAATATCCATAAAGAAATAGAAGCGTGGTGGATGCGGTTGTTTCGTTTTACGGATTCTAGACGTTTTTCATTGAGATAATACACCAACATTATTATTTTATTATTGTCTGTTTGTCTCAACTATAGATACATAGAGAAATATATGATTTAGGAAATAATAAACATCTGTGTCTATTTCGACATGGGGTTGCTAGGGGGTCACTAAATGTTTGTATGTTAACATAATGAACAACCAGAGAGTTATAACCGATTGCGTGTTTACATCATGAACAACCAGAGAGTCATTAAACGTTTACGTATTTGTATAATAAACAACCAAAGAGTCACTAAACGCGTGTGTGTTTACATAAAGAACAACCACAGAGTCACTAAACGTTTGTGTATTTGTATAATAAACAACCAGGGAGTCACTAAACGTTTGTATGTTTACATAATGAGCAACCAGAGAGTCATTAAACTTGTGTTTATATAAGGGACAAGTAAAGAGTCACTAAACGTTTGTATGTGTATATAAGGAACGATGAAAGAGTCACTAAACTTGTGTTTATATGAGGAACAACCAGAGAGTGACTAAACACACAAACGTTTTTTTGTGGAACAATCAGAGAGCTACTAAACTTTGTATGTTTACATAATGAACAACCAGATAAACACAAGTTTAGTGACTCTATAAGGGACAAGTAAAGAGTCACTAAACGTCTGTATGTTTATATAAGGAATGATGAAAGAGTCACTAAACTTTGTATGTTTATACAATGAACAACCAGAGAGTCACTAAACTTGTGTTTATATAAGGGACAAGTAAAGAGTCACTAAACGTCTGTATGTTTATATAAGGAATGATGAAAGAGTCACTAAACTTTGTATGTTTATACAATGAACAACCAGAGAGTCATTAAACTTGTGTTTATATAAGGGACAAGTAAAGAGTCACTAAACGTCTATATGTTTATATAAGGAATGATGAAAGAGTCATTAAACTTGTGTTTATATGAGGAACAACCCGAGAGTGACTAAACGTTTGTGTGTTTACAAAAGGAACAATCAGAGAGCTACTAAACGTTTGTATGTTTACATAATGAACAACCAGAGAGTCACTAAACTTGTGTTTATATAAGGGACAAGTAAAGAGTCACTAAACGTCTGTATGTTTATATAAGGAATGATGAAAGAGTCATTAAACTTGTGTTTATATGAGGAACAACCAGAGAGTGACT